CAAGGACCATTCATGGATATAACCTAGACCCCTGCTCAGATGCAGCCCATGGCAGCTCAGTATCCAAGTGGCTTTCCTAGTAAGGGGAACAGGAAATGTCTCTGACATGAACTCAGTGGCTGGCTCTTTGACATCCCCCCCACCCCAGAGGAGAGCAGCCTTGCCAGGCCACAGAGGAGGACAATACAGCCAGTCCTGAAGAGACCTGATAAGCTAGGGTCAGATGGAAGGGGGGGAGGACCTCCTCTATTAGTGGACTTGGAGAGGGAAATGGAAGGAGACGAGGGAGGGAGGGAGGGTGGGATCAGGAGGGAATGAGTAGGGGGCTACAGCTGGGATACAAAGTGAATAAACTGTAATTAATATAAAAAATAAAAGTTTAATTAAAAAAGAAAAACTAAGTTAATAAATAAATAGCAAAAAAGCACACACACATACACACACAAATGAAACATACCCTTTCTGTAATTTTGTAATATCTCTTTATTTATTAATTTGTTTTGCTTTTATGAGACAGGGTTTCTCCATGTAACAAACCCTGGCTCTCCTGGACTAGCTCTGAAAACCAGGCTGGCCTCAAACTCACCAAGATCTGCCTGCCCCTGCCTTTCACGTGCTGGAATTAAAGGTGTATGTTACCACACTCAGTTCCCTTTAATTTTTTTTTTAATTTTGTATTTTTATGAAGAAAAGTTACCATTTGCCCAACAGTTAACTTCATTGTTAAAAATCATTACAGGGGTTGGAGAGATAGCTCAACGCCCACGTTGGCTCACAGCCAGCTATAATCCCAGTTCCAACGGATCTGATGCCCTCTTTTGACCTCTATGCATAGATGAGGGCACTCATATGTAGACACAAAAATAGTATAAACATGTTTGCTTCCTTCTACAAAACCATGATTATCTTCTCTTCATACAGCCCGTCTGTCTGTATAGCCTTGCGTAGTCAGTGTTACCCACAGATCAACCAATATTACAGGGCTCCTTACAGAGGGGGCGGTGTGAGCCCGAAGGAAAGCCAAAACCAATGGCTTCCTTCTCGGAAGGAACAAGGTGTGCTTTGGAGCTTCTTAGGATCCACAATTCAGGATCAGTCTATTGCACTGGAAAAAAAAACAACAACAACAACAACAACAAAAAAAAAACCATAACGTGTGATTTTCCACCAAATGACTGAGATGGACAACTCTGATGTCTGGCTTTTTTTTCTCTACCCTGTGATAAACCGACCTCCAAAGTGACATGAAGGAAGAACATAATAGTTGCTGAGGTCTGCGCTTTGTGCCCGACACAGGTTGGACCCCCACAGCGGTGAGAGTACATTTCTACAGGGGCTACCCCATTTGTGTAGACTGGGAGCATGAGTACTGAAAAAAAGAAATGAAAATTAAGAATAATTTAAAATACCAGTGCTGTAAAACATGTTGCATTAAATGCTCCAAAACTCTGTGGAAGTCTTGGTTTTACGGCAAGGAAATGAAAAAAAAAAAAAAAAAAAAAAAGACAAAACCCAGAGATCTGTGCTTTCACTCTAGGCTCTACTTTGAGTTTCCAGGGTACTTTCAATGTCTGACGTCGATCTCTATCAATTCCTGCATTTGTAGATTAGAATGTAGAGCAAGGGATCCTAAGTCTTTCTTTTAGGCTCAAGTCTTTAGATCTCGTAGATTAAAACGGATGGATTCTTGGCTGAGAAAGTAATTGCGGGTTACTAATGAAATCCACAAGCCTGTACTGCCCCCTGTAGGCCCTGTGGGCCACCATCATATTCAGTTTTCTGACAGCAATGATGCGGAAGGCTGCAAAACCAGATACTACTGTGTTTCTGCCTGGCTTCTCCCTTACGCCCTCTCTTTGTGTGTTTCTACAAAATCAACCATATGAAAGACAGTAAGATTTTAACTCTGTTGTTCTATGTTATAATGCAAGAATCGAAACTCTAATTGTCCCTAATGATTGCTCGTGAAGAGAATTTTGACAAACTTGTTTGAAAGTTGTTCAGTGAAAAACATCTCATAATGTGACAACCGAACTTTACTTGAGCCTGGGCTACTTAGGAGCTGGAAAATTAATGAATTTTAAACTGCTCGATGGGAAACAAGAGTTCCTAGAGATTGTACCCTCAAATTGAACCTTCTGCAAGGCTACCGTTGTGGAGAAGTTGCAAGAATGCAGGTCTAGAGCTCAATTACAATTTATCCTGGGGTAGCTTTATCCACATAAATAGCTATATGTTGCTCACTTCTGTGTCAGTCCTAATGTTTTGTGATCAATAAAAGCCTTTGAAACATATTAATGTAGAACACGAGCTTTCACCAATTCCCAAAGTACGAGTGTCAACAGAGAGCACCTGAGGGCCGTAGCTGAGGTTCTCTGCTTTGCTGTAACCTGCCTCTCTGATGTCCCCACCACTGTACCTGAAAGGATCATGATTTATGACTTTATTTCTTCTGTTACTAGGAAAGCTTCATGAAACTCCTTCATCTCTGAACGTGAAATTCAGGGTTACTAACTTTGTGTTGATGGTCAAACATATTTGGCTCCAGAACAAACTCTTTCTCACCTTTGAGGTGAGAATTGTGTTTCAGTATGAACTTTCCTCTAACAACAAAATTAGAAATATTGAGCATTAAAAGACAATCTGAACTGTAATAATGTGATACTTGAGAATATGATGTCATGTCAAATAGAAAACAGGACTAACATACTGTAATAATCCACAAACCCAATGTAACTACTTTATGCTTATGGTAGAGAACTTTCCCTACATTTTTCCACTGACCCTCATGCTGGTCATTAAGTACTTTCCTTCTATTGCTTCTACATTTGAAAACTAAATAATCTTTCTGTAGGAAGCCTAGAAAGTCTGGCTAAAGTATGAACCGAACTTATTGATGGCAAAGCATAGCTTGCTTCTGGAAGAGTAAGAATTTAATAGAGGTTAAAAATAAGAAGCAATCTGAATGGCTGGCTATGAAGAGAGCTGCGTGGGTGTCCATGGTCTCATTAACAAATGGCTTTGATTCAGCATCCAGGATGAGGCTGGTGATGATCCCTGAGATTAGCAACATGTGGTTTTAGAACAGAGAATCCCTACCAAAATGAAAAGCTCTAGAAGTATGCACTGATGTGAAGGGAAACTAGAAAAATTTACCCACTGCTAAGTGGCCACGGAGAGAATTATGTATGCTGTATATATTATGTTACATTATATTATACCATATTATGTTGTGTTATGGTTTAAATTATGTTGTATTTAATTATAATACAATGTTTTGTTTTAATTAGGTATAATTAATAATATATTATTATTACTTGTGCTAGAGAAAAGTAAAATTAAATGATTTGTAGAGAATTTTAAAAACTGAATATTGTCCTCATTGTTTAGAATTTCATAGTTAAAGACACACGCTGTCTCAGGAAGTATGTTTGTGTGGTACACTGGGGCACGAGCAGAAATGGAATTGAAATCCAAAGAAAGCACACCTCACATAAGGCCTCCCTCATGCCTTAAGCACTGCCCAGCCGTATTTCAGCATTTCAAACCAGAAGGAGACACGTCGCCACTCTGCCCTGTTTCTTATATGCCACTAACATGCAAACTAACCAAACACGACCCGGAAGAGGAACACAGCTTAGTGGTTAAGGTGTAACCTCAGGGCCTTGTGTGGACAGTAATGTGCAAACATTTGCAGAATTCCCGCTCAGTTTTCTCCACCTGACAATGAAAGTCTCGTAGTGCCTATCAGACAGGCGTGCTGTAAGAAAGACAGGAGTCACAGCTGTAGAGCAGTAGCCTCCTAACAAACCATGTTAGGCTGGACCATGTCTGGGCTTTGTGCATTATTAAACAGCCAGTCTTCGATTTCCGTTATGAAAATTTCCAGATTGACTTTTTAAGTTATATGCCCAATGGAATCTGCTTGCAAACATAGCTGAAGAATTTACCATATCTCTAGACTTGGAGGTACTTTCTCTCACATATGGTGCGATCGGTCTTGACAGTGTCATCGTGTCCGCAGAATCTAACATGGCAGGGACCGCTTGTGAGTACCAGTACTCCGGTCAAGGTCTGCTGCAGTCATCAGAGATGTGTATTCTAAAGATCTGCCTTGGCCAGAAGCCCTTCCGTGCAGTAGTTATGTATTTCTTTTTTATTTTGTGGAAAGACTGACCCAAGCTTACTGGTTACTATAAGAAGATTTTCAAACTTACCATATGGTTTATCTTTCTGCAAACACTGGGGAAATGTTTACCATAAGCTCCTCTTCCTCAAGCTGTGTGCAGCCAGGTAGCATATTACTCATTCCGACTTTGACTGCATGAACGTATCATTCTGCAGCTGTCTTTTATGGGATTAACACTGAAGACATGCCTAGAGGCACATGGGAAATGCATTGAGAGTCATGGGAAAAGATTCAAGACAGAATAACTGTCAGTGGAGTGCTCAGTCACAAATGGGACATCCCTTTTCCCATGGACCATCACAAAAGAGGGTGGAGAAAGAGTATAAGAGTAGGAGATTTGGGACTACGGAGTCAAACAGTGTCTTACGGATACGACAGGACTACTGCACTGAGGAACTCACAACATGAGTGATTGACTGTACAAGACCCCCACAAAATCAATCCAGTTAACCGTCCAGCCTGGAGAATAAAGAGGTTCATGAGTCCCCAGCCCCCAAAAGAACATCTGGGAAGGGTTAAGGTGAGAATGATTAAAAAAATACATTGTATGAAATTATCAAATAATTGACGAAAGCATTAAAATAGAATGTTAGTTATTACGATACAATACATCAGTAATTAATTTATTAGTAAATATATACAAGAATGCAAAGAGCTTGTTTAGTAATTAATAAAAAATTACTTTAAAATCTCTCTGAAAAGCATTCAGACTCAGTCACAACTCAGAAAATAAAATACCACCTTACTCTTAGTTCTCTTACATATTTATTTAAAAGTCTAAGAAACCTGAAGGGACAAGAAAACACTCAACTTTAAAAATAAAAAGGTTCTGTTTATTGTTAAGTTGGTTGAATTGAAGCGATGAAATTCCACTATGGCATACAGAAACCGCATGAATTATATTAAAATGACACCTGATAATGCTTAAAGATTTTGCTATAAGAGAAGTATTGGTATTGCCAGCACTAAAATATGAAACACGAAATGTAAAGTGTCCCGACCTTCACCATTAAAGTAATGCAAGGACTGGAACGGGGTGTGGACAGGTAAAAACAATAGGTTCATACAGAAGCTGTCTGAATGCACTTTATCTGGTCTATATGCAAAATTGAAGATACCATACTGAAAACTCGTATGTCTAGTTAAAATTAGAGTTGTATTTTAAAATACAATGTCATTAATTTGTGGAGGAGAACTCATATTTTTTATTTTAAAAAAACAGCAGCAAGTAAAAGTGTGTTATTAAAAAAAAAACTGAGGAAAACAACAATTATCATAAAAAATTCGGTAATTAAAAATGAAGCACCTGTTTTTGTTTTTGTTTTATTTCAAAAAGGACTGCAGGCTAAGTCTCTTCTCTCAAGATAGCTCAACCCAAGAGAACTTATTTCAAAAACTCTAAAAGAATGTCTCCATAAAAGAACACAGTCTATATGCAGGTAGGAAGCCAATGAGAGAGACTCATTAATCAGTATAGTCATACATATGCCATCCTTATACAAGTAAGCACTCTGCTGGTCTCCCATAGGCCTCACTGATAATCTGGAGAAAATGTGGAAGCAACATACATACTGTGTTTTCCTACTGTTTGTGTAGAACATGTAACTTAACATGTAAAGCAGTCAAGTGGTGTTAAATAATGATAGGATTTATACATACAGGTTTCATAAAGTGTTTGTCATTAGGACATCCTGATCATTAGACTAGCTGTGGAAAATATGTCAAATGAGATACAAAGATACAATAGGTAATTCCAGACATCAGCATAAACACTCTGATACAAGGCATGTGTGGACAAGAGGGGTCTCGCTAAATGTGCTGAGTAAGCAAATGGACATAAGTTTGTGCTCACGTACCAAAGCCTTAAGATGCGAAGATCTTACTTGGCTATGGCCTTGATCAACTTTCTCTGGTAGCGTCATCCTGCCTTCAGAAATAGGTAGTTCCAATTTGTCCAGCTGAGGGCATGAAAAACTATGCATGGGAAATATAAGAGAATACATCTTATTTTGTAATAAAATAAAACTTCCCCTTGAGAGCTTTCTGAGCTTTCCTGCGCATTGCAGAATGATAATCTAATATTTGCACACAGGAGAACATTCTCCTGGCACATTATTTCTGTGTGCCTTTTCAGTCCGAAAGAGGAAGAGAAGCAGACATCTCACTCAGGAAGGAGTTTGCCCTCTAGAAAAAGAAGGAAGGAACAGATGTAGAAGATGTGTTATGACCTGCTAAGAACTAAGGATTTCATGTTCATGTGCCTGTAGTTTTAATGGTTGTACTGTATATGTTTACATGGCTAATGGAGGCAGAGATTTTAGAATAAACAAGTGTCCCAGGAAACGAAATACTCAACTGAGACACGTGTCAAGCCAAGATATATGCTTGCAAATAACTGAAGGTTGGATGTGAGGCCAATGAAAATTTCTGGAATTTTGTTTTCAATCGATGCTTCTCTTGATCCCTCTATCTTGATGAATGTTGAGGAGGAGTGCTTTCAAAGTACATGAAGTCCTGAAATGGGGGGAAAAAAATCTATGTCTTAGATTGAGCGATAGATAGAACTAATTACATTAATGTATGTAATAGCCTTTGTAATTTATCATGGGAACATTCTATTCCAGTAGAAGTAAACAAATCTAATGAAATATTTATGAAAACAGCTAATGTATGAAAACTCAGACAGATAATAAGCTTTTCATATTCAGCACCAATTGAATTTTTTATCATTAACTGAAGGGAAAACTCAGTAAAGCTAAGGATGATGTAACACTGGTAATCTTGACTGCAGTTGACATGCAAGAGGAAGAGGGCTTCGTACTTATTTAATTATAGTAATTTTCACAGAACAGCTGTTCTGAACTAGCAAGAAAGATAACTAATAGGATTACGACTGCACCCACTGTCTGACACCTTCCAGGTGTGTCCCTTCAGACTTCGGTCAGCTAAGAGCCATCACCCTGGAAATGTCAGTATTTTTCTCCCTCCTACAAATGAGTATAGCCAGCCAGCCAGTGTCAAACATGTGGCTAGAGGTGGTAAAGACAAAAGCTGGCCAAGTTGCAAAGCAAAATTTCTGCCATAGAATACTGCTTCCCATCATAAGGAATAATGCTCTCAATGCCACAGCAAAAGGCTTACAATGAGGAAGCAAGAGCCAAAAATCATTGCTTTCATCTTCACATCCAGGTCCATGGGGAAATGGATCTCAAAGTGGTCGGCATTTCCCATTGTTGATAAAAAGCCATTCCACTTCCTGATAATACTGCCGATGTCAGATCCTCCATCCAGAGAGTTGACCTGCAATAGCAAGAAGAGGAGTTTATAACGATTGAAAGCATCAACGGATGCGTCTCTCTCCTTTTCCTAGAAGCGCTTTGTGCACTGATAATATATAACGCAGAAACAAGCACCAGTGACATAATTTCAAATGAGAAATTTTAGATTGTCTTGAAATAGTTTAGTAACTGAGCTGAGACATATCTTAAGATCTTCAACCTAGTGACTTTTTCTCACCCTTAAATACAGCTTTTGGAGATTTTTAATAGAAGGTATAGCTTGAGTTGATAATTAAACTGTTTTCTGTAGCAGAGGATGAAAATTTCAGGATGGGAAGTCACTTTCAACCAACAGAACCTCTAAGCAAAACTAAAGGGTCTGTACACTCAGTCCTCCATGGGCCAAAAGTCACTCTGTCTTAGCAGGCCATGGTATACGAATAGGCTTCAGCTTCTACAAGAGGGACCACGGTGCTTAACACAGTAGAAACACCTCAAACATAGTTGCTAATGTCAATCAGCAATGGAATGATCACACACAACCTATGCTGGAAATCTGGTTTGTTGATAATTTCTACAACACCCTTAACAAGTGAGCAATGTTTCGCTACATAGTGATATAAAATAAAAACTAAGGAACGCCTTCAGTGTCAAAGAAAGTGGGAGAAGTAGGAGACTGAATAGGTTTAGTGTATGCCGAGCCTCATCCTGTTAAAAGGGTTTGAGAAATCTCCTCAAATCTCGGGGCTGGTTTTCTAACAACGTCTTTGGCAGCCCTCGGGATAAATGCAAAACAAGAAAGCTTTATTAAGAAAATGTTATAACGTAACCCTGTCATTTGCTATACCCATGCCCTGATAAATGCTCTGAGTGCTGCATTTGCTAGACTTTTGCATTTAAAATCTGTATTTGCACTCTAGAAATCACTAAAAAGAAAAAAGATAGTATATACCAAGAAAAAAAAAATTGATATAATCAGGCTGTTTACTTCCACGTTTCATCTTAAATGGGAAGAATGTTTTTTGAAAGACAATGCCACTCACATTTTGAAAAATGTCAAGTGGCCACAAGGAACCGTGTGAAAAGGGTTTGATACCAGCTCATAATAAACTCTTTCTTCATCCGACTTTCCTCATTCACATAAAAATAAAAAATAAAAATAAATAAAAAAAAACTGGTTAGGAACATCTTGGGGTCTAAATGTAAAATTTAGAAGCAATATGCTTTTACATATGTTTACCTCAAAAACAGAATCTGAACCACAGCCATAGGTTGTGCACGGACCACGCACTCTCATCACATTCTCTCTCTTCTGATTCCGGACGCTGTAAGTGGCTCTGCATAGGTCCCAGTGCTCTGCAACAAAGCCAATGGTGACACCAGGAGGACATTGCACTTCCAGCTGCATACGAAACCATGACAGAGGTCAGGGTGCTGTATGTGCACAATGCACACCCGTGTCTCTCTCTCTCTCTCTCTCTCTCTCTCTCTCTCTCTCTCTCTCTCTCACACACACACACACACACACACACACACACACAGGCACACGCACACGCACACCTGCATATGTTCTTAGTCATGCAAGGGCAAGGGGAATTAATGTCGGGAGGGAAGTACTCATGTTTCCCCAGGACCATTTGCAGGGTTGTATTTCAGAAAGCACTCCAAAGAGGTGAGGTCATGTTTGACTGTGGGACAAAGAACAAGCTTAATGACTGCTGAACTGTTTGATATAAGATTCCAGTTATCTAAGCTCAGTGTTCCTAACAGAACACACAGCATTGTCTGGGCAGATACACAGCCTCTCCCAGTCAACCCTGAAGGACCCGGCACAAGAACGACCCTATATGAATGGACAGTGCTCAGGTTCCTGTGGCATAATAATGGCCTTTGTTTCTTCTATGAAGCTCATGCCTTCTGACTGCATCCATTAAATGTGTCCAGTTAACTTAATAAATCTTAACCAGTAATACTAAATGCCCTACATGACAACTACAACAAGAAACAAAAGAGAAAGAAACGCTGTGAAAGTTTTATGAACGTGTCCCTCCCTTTGATGGGGATGTGCTCCAAGACATTAGTGGATGCCTCAGGTACCGACAGCTCTTGAACCTAATACACACCACCCTTTACAATAAACACATGCTATACCGAAGTTTAATGTATCAGTTATTCACGGTATCGTACTAATAACAGAGTGGTTAAAATATTCTGTCCTATAATGGAAATTACACGAATGTAGTCTTTCAGCTGCCACTGTGTGTGTGACGCTCTGAGCAAAAGAGGAATTCATGTTATAGAACTCAGCATACTACTCGGCTGATGAATTGTTTATTTCTGGAAATTGCCGTTAGTATTTCAGACTACATTTGTCTATAGTAACTAAAACCATAGAAAGTAAAATTGTTGGGGTGTGTGTGTGTGTGTGTGTTGTAACAGTTAAAAGCCTACATGTAGAGGAAGACAACAACATTTTATTAAAGATTTAAAAAATATTGTCCAGTATCCTGTTCTATTTGATTAGATTTATCTTTAAAATGTATAAAAGATGTCCTTCTTTTTAATAACAAGAGTTACAAAGATTAAATTGCTTCTTAGAAGTCCAACATGAACATGTGCTTGCTTTCCTGCTTTCTTAAGCACTTTCAGAAGATGTTGGGAGCAGATTTTACACAATATCAGACAAGACCACAAAGCTTTGCATTGCTTCCCATTGTACCTATTCAAAACATTAAACCGGACAGTTCCCTAGAACCAAAAATGTCACAAAAGTTTAAGCCTGAGATTATAAAACTCACAACTGTGTAAAAATTAAATTACTCTTTAAAAGTAACTTAGTTTTATTTTGAACAATGCTTAAAAGTATGGAAGGTTGCATATAAGTAAATATGATGTTATGCCTCAGTGACTAATGTATGCTTCACTTTTCATAATGTCCTTGAGTAAAAGATTGCAGAGATGCAGAACAAATTAGTGGTTGCCAAATACTAATGCTGAAAATGAAGAAAAGATAGTTAATGAAGGCTGTTTTTGCAGTTAAGAAGTTGTTAGGACTTTGTTCTGTGGTGATAGATAAAGTAGTTTGTATATGTGATAAGGCTGAGTAAGAAAAATGCCCAAAATGACTATTAAAAAGGGAAAATATTTTAATTATATTGTTGGACAAAGACATAAGTAATTTATAATTGTGCAGTTCTGGTTTGCTTTAGTCTGTTTGTGACCTTTATAGGAATTTAAAGGCTGTGATCTGAAATCAAAATGCGGTATTTGAACGAAAATGCGTGTTCTATTGGAAAAACAGAGATTAGAGAGATTCACCTCAAATATCAAGAGATTCAATTACAAATATAATAACCACAAAGGAATATGGAGAAAAACAAAATATTCTGATGTGTTGGCACAATGTTAGCAGGAATTGAGTTTAGAGACTGGTGTGTTCTAACAACCCTCAATACGACCATTCTACGAGGTAAGAACTATTAACAATAAACTCAATTTTATGGGTAAATTGGTAAATAGAGAGTATGGCAAACAGATTAATACTTAGCAAAGAATGACACATAACATACAATTTTAAAATTCTGGATATTCTAATTCAGGGTCCAAACAGGAAAGTTATCAAAGTGGTGAAATGGAGGGCAAATTACAAAACCTAGAGGAGAAAAAAAAAAAAAAACTCAGTAAAGAATATGATAGTCTCAAAAACAATGAAAGAAAAATAATGGAAATGAAAAAAGCAATCAAACGTGCAAATAAAATATACAATAGAGAGCATCATAACTGGCAAGAGAAAGCAAAAACATGAGCTTAAAAGACTCAGGACAAGGCCAAGGCCACAGTACATTCATATACATACATACACACACATATATATGTATATACACATACATGTATGTATATACACATATACATATATAAACACATATCATATTTATGCAAATTAACACAGATGACCAAAGCTTCCAAGGTTTCTGGGATATATTAAAAAAATGTATCTAAAAACCCATGGAGTAGAAGAAAGGAGTATGATGAAGTCTAAATTCTAGAAATTATGACAAATCTAGAGAAAGTCATAGCAACCAAACATAAGAGGCATTTAGAACCACAAACAGAAATGAGAAGAAAAGAACCTCTCCATGACATGTTACGATGAAGATGTAAAACATTTCACAAAGCAAAGAAACAGGACTAAAGCTGTAAGGGGGAACTGCCAAGTTACACACAAAGGAAAAGATACACAATAGCATCAGATTTCTTGTCGTCAATGCCAAAAACAGTTAATCCCGGAATGAAAATAAACAACCGCAAACACGATTGTAACACCCAGCTGAGTTATGGTTTAAAGCTGATGGAGAAATAAGACATTTGATATGTTTTAAATTTGATGGAGAAATAAAACGTTTGAAGAAAAGCACAGACTGAGGCATTGCATGGCAACCAAGAAAGCACTCCAAAAATTACTTAAAAGAAAATGCTAAAGGTTATGAGTTGCCCAGCATGGGTGCTGGGAGCCAAACTTGGGTTTTCTGGAATAATTTAAGTACAATTTCCTCAACTGAGATTCACTTTTCTCAAATTACTCTGGCTTGTGTGAGGTTAACAAAAATCTAACCAGCACAAACACAAGATAACTGTAAGCATTTTGGCAGCAAATATTGAGTCTCCCAATTTTATAAAGCAAACACTTACAGGCAGTGAAAGGTCAGCTACCTCCTGATACAATAATAATGGGAAACCTCAACACCCTATTATCATCTTCGAGATTTCTTCCAAACTAAAACCTACAACAAAAGCTATGGAACTTCACAGGTAAATTATGCCATACATCATTCTTGCAGTAGCTCTTAGAACCTGTTTTATAAAATTGGTGACCCTGTAGCCCACAAAGGAAACCTTAATAAGTACAACAAAATTTGAAACAATCCCTTATAGTCTGTCAGATTACAACAGAATAAAACTAGAAACAATATCAAGGAAAACTATAGATATCACTCAAATACTTGCACACTTTCAATAAACAGTAGATCACTGAAAAAAGGGGGGGACTGAAATAATAACAGATTTAAACTGAACTAATAACAAACCAACCGCCAGAACACAGGCAGAGCAATCCTAAGGGAAGGATTACAGATAGGAGAGTGCGCATTAAATGTTGGGTCTCAGAAAATCTAAATGATCTACTTAAAGGTTCTAGGAAATTAACAGCAAGCCAAATCCAAATGACATAGATGTTAATTATAAAGATTAGGGCAGAATTTGATGAAATAGAGACTAAAGGGATTCAAAAAAATTAACAAAATACGTTATTTTTTGAAAGATAAACAAGATTTAAAAGTCCCTAAGCACATGAACCATAACTTTATTATGCCTCTTTTTAAGAGGGCACAAACTAATGAGATCAGAGACAAGGAAGATGAAGTTAAACAAAGTAAGGTGTAATTCCAAAGTACCTTCAGGCAATACTATGAAAACTTTCCAAACAGCCTAACACATTGGGTCTGCCAAAATTAAATCAAGAAGATATAAATAACTTAATCAGACCAACAACAAGCAACAAAATTAAAACAGTTATTACTGTATCTCCTAACTGAAAAACAACCTTGGACTACATGGTTCCAGAGCTAAATTCTATGAAACTTTTCAAGACAATATGTCTTAAACTATTTTTCAATTGGAAGAGAAGGGAAACTAGCAAATTAATTGAACAAAGGTAGTATTAGCCTGATACCAAAAGCAAATAAGGGTTAAGGGCAGAACAAAAAAGACAGAGAGAGGGAGAGGGAGAATGAGACAGAAAGAGAAAGAAAGAGAGAGAGAGAGAGAGAGAGAGAGAGAGAGAGAGAGAGAACCCTACCGAGCACCTTTTCTGCTCAACAAACAGAACCTTTCAGTAAAATATTGGAAACTGAATTCAAGAACACAGTAAAAGAAAATATACTTCAAGGCCAATGATCAATGCTTCATGATCCATTCCAGGAATCCAGCGGCCAAGAACCTGAGACTAGATAGGTCATGGGTATATAAGAAAATCTACTATTATTGATCTTTTCTAGTTCTCAACATTTGTCTGCAAATTTCATGATTTCTTTGTTTCTAATAACTGAGTAGCATTCCACTGTGTAAATGTACCACAATTTCTGTATCCATTCCTCCACTGAGGGACATCTAGGTTGTTTCCAGATTCTAGCTATTACAAATAGAGGTGCTACAAACATGGTTGAGCAAATGTCCTATTGTATATTTGAGCATATTTTGGCTATATGCCTAGGAGTGGTATAGCTGGATCTTGAGGTAGCATTGTTCCTAATTTTCTGAGAAAGTGTCACATTGATTTCCAAAGTGTTTGTACAAGAGTGAGGTATCCCAGAAGCAGAAAGACACACAGTATATATACTCACTCATAAGTGGTTATTAGACATATAATATAGGATAAGTATACTAAAATCTATAGTCCTAAAGGAGATAAACAACAAGAAAGATCTTAGGGAAGATACTCAATCCTCATTCAGAAGGGCAAATGTGATAGACATCGAAAGAAGGAGAAGACAGGGAACAGTACAGGAGCCTACCACAGGCAGCCTTTGAAAGAGTCTACTGATTGAGGTATAGAAGTAAAGGCTAAGACTCATAGCCAAACTTTGGGCAGAATGCATGGAATTTTATGAAAGAAGGTGGAGATAGAAAGACCTGGAGGGGACAGTAGCTCCAAAAGGAAAACAACAGAGCAAAACAAAAACAAAAATAAAAACAAAAACAAAAAATGGGCCCTGAGTTGCCTGCAGAAACTGATACTCCAACAAAGGACCATGTATGGAGAGGACCTAAAATCCCTGCTCAGATGTAGCCTATACACTCAGTTTCCAAGTAGGGTCCCTAGTAAAGGGAGCAGGAGCTGTCTCTGGCACAAAGTCAGTGTCAGGCTCTCTGATCACCTCCCCCCCCCGGATGGTACTGCCTTATCAGGTCAGAGAAGAAGACAATGCAGCCAGTCCTGATGAGACCTGAAAGGCTAGGGTCGGATAGAAGAGGAGGAGGTCCTCCCCTATCAGTGGACTAGGGGAGGGACATAGTAGAAGAGGAAGGGAGAGTAGGATGGGACTGGGAAGAGATGAGGGAGGGAGCCACATCTGAGATACAAAATGAATAAATTGTAATTAATAATAATAATAATAATAATAATAATAATAATAATAATAATAAAGAAAAGCTTTGTGAAGCAGATGGGAAATAATACAGAGAACCACAACTGGCCAATGTGCAGAGAGTAAGAGTGTAGGAACACTCAGCCCTAAATGGAATGTCTCTATCAGCATCCCCAACCTCAAGCCTTAGGATCTATTCAGAAGAGGCGGAAAGATTCTAAGAACCAGAAGTGACGGATGACTCTAAGAAAACAGCATCTTTCAGGCACAGCAGGATGAATTCACATGAACTCACAGACTGGGACACAGTAGAGGAAGGTCCAAAACCGCAACACAGAGCATTTCTACTGCAGGTCCAGCGCTGCCATATGCAGGGCTTCTATCTGGCATTTCATGTAGGCTGTGATGGGTACTGCAACCAAAAGCCCTTCCCAATTTGTCATCTGGTGAATATGTTGGTACCATTATTGCACATGTGATTACTGTCCGTCCCTAGAAGTTCTTATACCTTAGAAAGTGGCTCCAGCCAAAACAGCCTCAAGTCATACTTGTATATCACATGAGGAGATAAAGAAGAACTCTGAGTTTTTGACCCATGATATAACTCAGTTTCCTCCCTCCCTCGTATTCAGTGTCAGTTTCACTGAATGGTAGGCTAGACATCTCCCTCCCATGTAGTTTATGAAGAAGACCAACCACAGGGTAAAGGGCAGACCAGGAGGTGAGGGTCAGGTCACTGTTATTGTCTGACCTCTTGCCTTGCACAGGGGCAGCAAAAGCAACAGCAGGTGCATCGGAAAGGCCTCTGCATGGTCATGATCTCTCGCCCCAGGCAGTCAGTGACCCGGAGCACGAAGGGTCGTAGGTTCCGATAGGCATTCCTGGTAAAGTCATCTGTGTCTTCAGTTACAATGTAGACCATCTGGTCTGCGTTATTCTTGATGTCATATCTATTATTAGTTTCATAACCTGTCATCCCTAAAAGTTAGAATGAGGAAACAATCTTAAGTTAGAACCAGTCAAGATAAGGTTGAGGCAGCCTTTGTTGAAGAAGAAGGAGGAGGAGGAGAAGGAGGAGGAGGACTGGGGCTGAAAGCCAGATAGTTTTTAAACTTTTTCAGGTAAAAATACAGCCATGTGACCATAAAGGTTAAGTATTTTAAAATTTTTAAATGTTTTCTAAGTTTAATATGAAATTCTCTTAACAGTTTTCCCACATAAAAGTAATGGTTAATATAGTGTTCCTGGAATATCAGATCTCAGAAAATGTTAATAATAAGACCATTGTAATGGAATCACAATCAGATCATGAATTAACCAACTCACGAAACTGATAAAATTACGAGAGACATGCTACTTGTAAAAATGAAAATAAATTCAGAAAAAAAAAATCAAAGCCTCTGTGTGCTGCTCAGAGGGGCATGTCCAACTCCTACGCTGAGCATGAGAAGGCCGGCAGGGAACTGAGAACAGAGACACCTCACTGGCTCCGTTTCCTCCAGACTTCCACAGCAATAGCCACAGACTAGAACTCAGCAATCTCAGATTGTCTCCTCTTTGCCATCCACTGTAGTGGACGGTGGGGCTCTGGCTAGCTCAGCCTAGCCCTCCCTTCTTATGCTCATCTAAAGATGAATGCAGAAGAAAAATCGACAAGTTACACAGGAGAACTAACCAGATTAGATGCAAGTCCTTTCTGAATCTAAGAAATCATCAGTGTGTGGAGTATTGATCCCATAGAACTATACAGAATAATTCACTTCATTGCTTTTGTGAAGATAAGGTAACAGAATAGCCTTCTCTCTTTAAATCAATAAAAGCCCATCAGCGTAAAATAAGGAACTAGGTATGAAGTGATACAAATTTCCATCTGATTACAATATGCTAATCAAAACACAATTTGAATCAAAACAAAATTATACATACATTCCAGAGGCTCAAAGTGCTGAAGAACGTGTATGTTGTCCAACTGTGGGGACAGAACAAAAGCAATTAGAACACAGGAAAGCAGACTTGCTTTTTATTAGCAAGAGAAAAGAATTTGATGACAAAGTAATAAATTGTATCAATCAGGGGCTGGAGAGTTGGCTCAGCCTGAAGAGTACTGGCTGTCTTTCAGAGGAAGTGAATTTTGTTCCCAGAACGCACATGGTTGCTCACAACCATCTGTAACTCCAGTTCCAGGAGATCAGACACCCTCTTTTTCTCCTCTCTGGATACCAGGTATGCAAGTGGCGCACAGATACGCATGCTGGCAAAATACTCGTATGCACGAAATAAAATTTAAAAAATATTTAAAATGTTTCTGTTGATGCCAAATATCTCTTTGGAAATCAAATGGAATCTAAAAATTTAATCAGTTGAGGTCTTCTCATCTGCATCCAATTGGGTGGATATTAGCAGTGGCTCTAAATAAGAAAAACACAGAGCTGACTGACATCAGGAAAACATCTGCTTGCTACAGTGACAGCCTATTGAGGAAGCCACATACACGCATAGAAGCCCATCAGCTTCTCTGAGATGTTCGTATAGTGGCGAGTCAGGATGACCTAACTAGGCACACAGCGTGTGATTCTCTTGTGGTTTGGGGAAGGTGAACAAGCCAAGGTAAGCCTCGAGTAGGAATTTCCTTTCACATTGTTTCCTGAGTACCACATAGAGTTAAGCACATAGATTCTAATGTCAGGTTCTTGTCCAAGTTAACACTGCAGTATAGATGCTGTGAGGGGAGCACCATGTGAATACAATTTGAGAAAGGGGAGGAGGCATTCTAGCAGTCCATGAAAAAGGTTAAGAACATGGCAAGAGAAACTTCTCCTTGAACCTGTTCAAGGAAGTACTTTGAGGTTTGATGATTCTATGATCAGTTACACCTCGGAACACCCCAGCAGAAGAAAAAGAGTCTGCTGTAGGACAGAGGGATCATTATGGACATAACTGTAAATCACTGAGATCATTAGAGCATTCATCACTGCTGAGCTCAGAACGCTGCCTCAAGGGTTGCATAACATTGCTTGAAATGTTGCACTTCGTCAAAAAAACCCGTAAAAGAACTGGTCATGGGTGACATTTTGTGTGATCAGTTCCAAGAGGACACAAGAGGATGTGATGCACGATGCAAAGCTTTCATACGCTAATAATGAAGCACTGAGGTGCCATCTTAAATAAGATATCAAAATGGCCGCTACAATTGGTTGAAGTTCCTCTTGTCAAACATTAAGAAACTAAAATATAGAAAAATAAAAATATTTACCATGTGGCAAAAGTGTCTACTGCAGGCCAAAAAGTTCTGGTTACTGCTGACGCAAATGTTTCCCAATGAGGTGCTGTGCCTCACGAGCAAGGAATGGACAAACAGGTGGAGGTCACTGGCAAAGACTAGTTTCTGGAACTATTCTAAAGCTTCAATGGATGGATAAGGGCTCTTTTAGTCAGTATCATGTGATCTGTCGGTGAGATTTCAAACCTTCTAACAGGAAAATGACAGAAGAGTGGGTAATGAATAGTACCCTCAGCCGGCATCGGTAGGACACACCCCTGTGTGCCAGCAACAGGACAGCCATTACCAGTTTATCCACTAAAACTTCTCACAATACTGTAGGCTGCCATTCACCAAACCATTACACAGATACCAAAGGTGGAAGACTACAAGGTTAGAGCTAATAGAAGGTAGAGAGAATAAACACCGGGATTGTCTGGCTCCAAACACCTTTTGTTTTCATTTATTTTAAATTCAATAATTCCCAAAAGGGAATGCAGAATTCATAAAAATATGCTGATTTGCTCCCAGAGTAAAAGCAGAAATTGAGATACCCTTTTCAAAAAATTTCAGATTTCAAAATCCTTTGGAACTTCACTGGGTACAGAAATGGGGCTTTCTAAATGTGAGCCACTACAGTCACTTCTGAAAGGAGTTTGGAGTAATGAATGCATCTACTACATTTGCTCAAGCACCTTTAGTAAGACATTTCATTCACATAAAATCCAAAAGTTTCCAGTCTAACCCTGTTGACTTCCATATCTGCAATGCAACAGTGTATAATTTGCTTCATCCTATTTTCACCAAGTTTTCTCTTCCTGGTTTTAAATATCATGTACAAAAACTGCTTTTCACACTAGCTTTCGTTCTAGCTTCATAATTTACATGTGCACAGAAATTGGGGAGTCACTGTGCTGAATGAAAGGGACATGGATTTTTCAGTCTGCAGCAACATCTTATACTTACTTAGATTTATGTGTTTGGGGGTCCAGGGGTGCTAAAGAGAGGCTGAGATGTTGGAAAGAAACCATGCGTTGAACATTCTGTGACGCCTCCCCATCTCCTCTTGTCTAGTGTTCTTTCTTATTCCGTTTTTCTTTACTTGCAAGTAAATGGCATAGCGTTGGGTTAATGACTCTCATTCTTATTTTTCTAATTTCTTTGAGAAAGCCATATTGAATAATTTGAAAGCTGATTTTGTTGTTTCCGGAAGAACTTCTGTGTCCTATGAATGTATCTTTGTACTGCCAATCCACCATCGCAGCTCTCAGCCAGCCAGCCTCGGTCATCAATGACTTAACTCCCCATTTGTTCTAGCCAGCATCTTATTCCGTCTCCTTATACCCCATGGCCATACTACATAGAAAAGTGCTTTGGATTTATTGGAGTACCTGAGCTAAGTATTCCAGACCAGGAGGGCAGCTGGGTATAGGAGCTGGCCCTGGCATCCACATCACAGGAGCATGCTGAGTCATAGGGTATTTGCCAGGCTGGTACTGGATAGCATGGGTGCCCCCGGTGGGTTGGTACAAAGGGATGATACCAGGCTGCTGGGGAACGTAGTATCCAACTTGCAAGCCTGCAGAGGGAGGGACAGCTGGTCCAGCAGAGCCTGTGTTCTCAAACAGATGAAAATATTATGCGTTATCACTTTATTGGGAGTTATATGATTTTTACATGAGAAAGTAACCATGCAACATGCTGTTAAAGAAAACAAGTCCTCCTGTTCCCTGAGTGTGTATCCATACAATAACAATGTCCTAAGGAGATTATTCACATTTAGTTCGGCTGATCTTAAAACTTGTACTATATTATGCCTATTTTGCAGGTAGAGAAATGAAGTTTAGCACTCTGAGAACAAGGTAGACTCTCACTGCTTCTCCTTTAGGGACCATAAGCTCACTTCATTGGCTTTAATCAAATTATCACATGTAATTATCATTGTCATTTTTATAACTTCCCACAAAGGGGTCCTTAACATCTATGCTGGGTTGCCTTTATCCACTCACTTCTTTTTATCCTTTCGTCTAGACCTCAGGCTGCTTATCAACACTGACATATCTCAGAGTCAATTTCCCAAGCTTGTTTCTTCATCAGAGTACTACAGCTGGAGCCATTTCAACAACACGCGTTCCCTTTCCTGCCTATAAGCTGGGAACTCCAAGATCAAGTGCAAACCTAGCCTGTGTTCACCCTCTTCCAGTCCTGCGGTGGGCAGCCTTCAGGAAGAGCCAGGCCATCAACCTCATGTCACTTCTCGGAAAAGCACGAAGTTCACCCTTTTGGCTTCACTCTCACAACCTCTGCAAATCTCAGAGAGAAGCCACCTCCCCAACCCTTTTTATAGGGTCCCAGCAGGTAAACTTGGGGTAGGGGGTGTATACAGTGTTCAGTCCAAAGTACTTATACATATTCATGGCCAATTCTCCATACGTCATCACAGTCTAAAACCTGAAGAACTCTGTCTCTGCCATTTTAAATCATTCGAGGCCCCAGGAACAGCATTTCCCAATGGTTTCAGAGGGGTATTCGAAAGAGTAAAATGTCACATGGTGACTAATACATTAAGACCTCATCTTCCACCAGGCCTGCTTAGGTCGTGTTTGCTACAGAGAAAGGGATCTACATCTCAAAAGCCAGCTGTTTAAATTCACTTATTTACAAATACATAGAAAAATAATTTCAGGACTGTTTCCTTCATTGTGGCACAATGCACCAAGTGCTTCAAAAATCGCCTGGAGTTCTCAGTAAGAGTTTCACGGCCCAGTGCCATGTATCAAACACAATTTCCAAGTCAAAATAACAAAGAAAGTCAGCTCGATTTCTCTTGTCCTCAAAATGGGTAATTCAGTGGGCTTTGATGTTGCTGTTTTTGTTTTGTTTTCTTTTTTTTTTTTTTTTTTTTTTTTTTTTGTGCCGGCAAATTTGAGCAAGCATCCCCACCGCCTAAGTCCAGACAACATATCATACAATATCAGCCACTCCGATTTTTTCCTCTCTCGTCTCTGGAAACCATTCTCTGTGGTTTGCCTAGGGTTGGCATGCCACGTAGATGAAAGTGTACAGTTTGTAACCTGCATGTCAGGTTTCTCTCAATCTGTATGTTTTCAAGATTTATTCATGTTATAGCACACCCACTGCTCTTTTCAGTACTTCATTCCTGTTTTTTTTTAATGGTTGAGAAGCAGTCTACGATGAGGAATAAATTGCATTATTTTTGTTCTTTAATTCAAGGCCACTTGGGTCACCTTCACTTTGGTGATTATAACAACACTGATTGTTGCAACCCGCGTGGTCGTCTCGCCAGCAAGAACGCACACGGACAACAGGATTCTTCTGCAGCAAGCTTTATTGCAGTCAAGCGATGAGGGAGGAAGACCCCGACCCCAGGAATGCCACTGCTTATATACTCCTTGAGGCGGCGTGTGGTCTATGATTGGCTGCTTGCTCATTACCTCACAAGACGCGCTGGGCTGGACCAAGACTTGGTGTGCTTTTGCCCTTGCGCATGCGTAATATTACTTGTCTTCCAGGGCCAGAGCCAGATGTCGGCGCCATCTTGTAATGGCGTTTTGCCCGGGCATGCCCAAGCGGCTCTCCACAACTGATGTCATCATGTACACATTTGGTATAAACATAATTTTTTTAATGACAGCCTTACTTTGTAATCCTGGTTGGCCTGGAACTCTCTCTGTAGACAAGGCTGGCTTCACACTTTTGGAGATCAACCTGTCTCTGCCCCCCAAGTGTGGGGATTAAATGCATAGGTACTGGTAGCTCTTCTTGGGCTGAGGACCAAATAACTTGCTAAAGCTAGTATGTGGAAAAGGGGGAACGCAAACACTCTGACTACTAAGGTACTCCTTTCAAACCATTGTTAAATAAAGGGTACAAATTGCTTTCGTTGGGACATTTTCACACATATGCCATTTTATTTTGTTCCTAGCTATCTTTTCTCTTTTCTGTGCTCCCCACCCCCAATCCCTTTTTCTTTCCTCGACGGTCCTCCTCCTCTACAAATCATCTTGCTTTCTGTTTCTGTGCCCTATGTACTGTATTATACTATATTATTTCTCCTCGTCATTCATCTGTTGATGGGTATCTAGGCTGGATCCAATGTTGGCATCTAGGCAAGTATTTCTGTGGCATTCTGACGTAGAGTTCTTCAGGTACATGGCCAGGAATGGCACAGCTGGGTCATATGGACATTCTGTCTACCTTCCTGAGAATGCTCCACAATGATTTCTCTTGTGGCAGCCTGAATTTACATGTGCTGACTGCTAGCATCAAAAAATTTTCTCTACAAATACTCTTCAGCATTTGCTATCTTTTTGTTTTTGTTTTGCTTTTAATAATGGCCATTCTGACTGGGGTAAGACAGAATACTGATAAAGTTTTATTCTCATATCCCTGCTCCTAAAGGTATTGGTCAATTTTCAAATATTTTTTTAGGGGCTAGCAAAATGCCTAAGTGGGTAAAACCATTTACAGTACAAGTCTGATGACATGAGTTCAATCCTCAGAACCTACAGTGAAATGAGAGAACCAACTTCCACAGTTGGCCTCTGACTTCCGCATGTTCACCGTGACAGTCTGTGTGTGTGCATCTCCCCAACCTGAAATAAAATTTTAACAATATTTTTGGATGCTTGTGTTTTCTCTTCTGAACTGCCCACTCAGTTCCTTAGCCCATTTATAGATGGAGTTTTGGTTCATTTTTTTTTATAGTTTTTTATTATTGTAGATATTAATGTTCTATCTGATGTGCAGCTGGCAATGTTTTTTGCACTCTAGAGGCTCGTATACTCTGCTGCTTTTGATCTTTGCTGTGCAGAAGCCTTTTAGTTTTACGCAACCCCATCTGCCCATTCTTGGGAGTGTTTCCTGTGTTATTAACGTTTTTCTCTGAATGTCGTACCCGTGCCTTTATGTTGAAGTGTTTTTCTCCAGCAGTTTCAGAATTTTAGGTCTTCTATTGAAGCGTATGGTCCATTTCTGTGTGTGTGAGAGAGAAGGGTGAGAGATACAGATCTAATTTCTTTCTTTTATGTATGACTGTCCATCCTTTTTAGCACCATTGGCTGAAAAGAGCTGTGTCCACCCCAGCGTGTGACTGCGACAACTTTGTTGAAGATTTGTTAACTATCTCTCTGTGGATTTGTCTCTGACTCTTATGTTCTACAGGCTTATGTAATGGCCAATCTTGGTTGTCAAGTTGACCCCCGTGGGAAGAGAAAGCCACCTTTGAAGAATTGTTTCCATCAGGACTGGCCTGTGGGCATCTCTTTAGGCCGTTTTCTTGGTCGGTAATTGATGCTGATGTAGAATGGCTCAGCCCACCGTGAGCAGTGACATCCTTGGGACTGTGGACCTGGGTCCTCCGAGGCTTTGTACAAGGAAGGTAGCTTTGCAAGCCAGATGAAACCTGCAGTAATCCTCCGATGTCGCTGCTTCAGCTCCTGCCTTGAGCTCCTGCCCTAGCTTCCTGCAATGATGGAATGGACTCTGACCTATAAATTGACATAAACCCTTTCCCTGTCCAAGTTAGTTTTGTTCCGTGTTTGATGGTAACAACAGAGAGCAAATTAGAACAGTCTACATGTCTGTTTTTGTGCCAGTATCATTCAATTTTTTATGACTACAGCTCTTTAATACATTTTGGTATTTTCAGCACTGTTCTTGTTGTTGTTTTCCTGCTTAGGATACTTTATATTATACTAACATTTTTGCTTCTGTGTGCATTCTAGTTTTATGAAGAACGCAGCTGAGGTTTCTTGGGGATTGTGTTCAATTTGAAGATCGTTTTCAATAATACAACCATCTTTACAACAGCAGCTGCTAATTCATGGTCAAGAGAAGTCCTGTGTCTTCTTGCACTTCTTTCCTTAGTATTGCAACTCTTTAAAAAACTTTTCGGGTTGGAAGTTTTTTCATGTCGAAGCTACTGTGAATGGAGATTTTCTTCACAAGCTCTAATTGGTCTATAGCAAGGAAACTGTTCTTTTATGCTGTATTGCATCCTGCCACTTTGCTGGAAGTGTTTATTAGGTATGAGTGCTTCCTGATGGAGTTCTTAGAGTCTTTTAAGTATAGAACCATGCTACCTGCAAATAAGAGTCCTTAGATTTTGTCCCTTCTTTACAGCCTGCACTTCTTTTTCTTGTTTTACTGCTCTATCTAAGAGTTCAAGCACTGCTGACTAAGAATGGAGAGACTGGGTACCTTCTCATTGTTTGTTTCAGATGAGAAAATGCTCTCATTTTCCTTATTTAGTATAATGTGCATTATAGATGGGACTTATATAGCCATTATTATATTGGGATATGTTTCTTCTATTTTTAGTTTCTTCAGGTTTTTTTTTCATGAAGGGATGGATTTTCTGCATCTATATTTCTGCATTATGTATCACTTACTGAATTCTTAGCTACATTGCATCAATATCCTTGCTGCATTGTAAGCAAGGAATAGGAACACTTACTAGGGGATTCTGTGGAGGGCTGTAGATCTAGCAACTTTAGTGCTAATAGCTATTTCAATCCTTACGTTACACAGACACATTCCCAGTCATAGAAATAAAATGGCCTAGCGTTAGCCAACACTGAAAAAAAAAATCAATCAGTGCAAAAAAAGACACAATCGCAAAAGCTAAAAAAGTTTCTTTGAATAAAAACTAGAGAAAAGAAGCATTTTATGTAGGGCGTCAAAATCCTGTGATGCAGATATTAAAGAAGAGTACTTTTTGAAGCTGATAATATATAACATTACAATCTATAATAAAAAGCATATTAATACAGTCATGAATTACAAAATCAATTCTCTAATGCTATCTCAAAACAAAGCTAGAGATAAACCTTACTTTATCCAGGAAACCATCTAATGAGCTTCAGGGTCCAGCTGCTATGACTGAGGCAAGAAACAGAATTACACACACATTACTGTCTTCAGTATTTTGGAGCATATTACATTCTTGTAAGAGAAGCAAGTGGTTATTATAAAGCAAGTAACTGCTGCAATCCCAAAGAGATGCACAGGGCACAAGGGTTGTCAGGAGTGGTTCTTAACAATATGGACTCTGTTATAAATGCTAACTCATTCAACCTGGCCCTCCATGAGGAACAACGGTTTTATAAGAGCACAGACCAGAACAAGAACGCTACAAAGCAGGCCCAGCTCTGCAGAAGCAAGGGCTGTTGGTGGAGTGTTTGCAGGCCAAACTAGAAAGAAAGTTTGTGCTTACAGTTCGAACCTTGTGCCACCAGGATGAAGAGGAGATGTTTCACTTTTGCAATCCTTACCATGCAGTGTTACATTAAGCAGAAGGTGCTTTCTAGCATCCGGATGTAAGGCAAGGAAGTTTAATTGTGAAAAGAATAAAAAGAAGAAATCATTATAACTGGCAATTTAAAAAAACTGCTTTGACTTGTTGGTGGGCTTGTGTCCATACATGCTTCCAACCTGTGGAAAACAGAGTATAAGTTTGGGAATAAGATGTCAAAGTTGGTTCGATGATTATGTTTGAGAACCTGTAGCTAAGCAGGGAACGTGGTCTACAGGCAGTTGCAACTGTAAATCTAAAGTGTAGTGTGTTGAAATGGGTCAGAAGAGGATTTATAAGTACCTAAAAGTACACAAAACTAGCTGGATTGTCAAGATTACCTTGTGAGAGAAAATAAAAGGAAAAGTGGATGGAAGAGATGGGGAGCCAGGCAGGACGCAAGAGAATGCCAAAGAACTCTGAGAAAAACAGCTTTTGAGGATAGGAATATCCTTGATAAAGACTGATAGTAAGTATAATTAAATGATAGATAATGCTAATTAAAATGCTGTTAACCTAGAACTAAACGAGAATAAAGGTGAATATCTATGGAAGAAGAATGAGGGACATTTTGAGCTTAAGTTTATCATGAAGAATGTACGTTAATTTCTGAAGGAATTATTGTAGGAGTACTTGCCTGAACTAGAAGTCAGTGATCCTCTTTCCCAGGTTCTCAAAACCCTCATTTACAGAATACTAATCATCATATTATGTAAATGAGCTAATTACCACATCTTGTACTTTTAACATAAAATCACTTGAAGTAATAACAGTTGATGATCAATAGCCAGAAGGAAAGTAGAATTTATGTTAAGGACTTATTCAATATGATGGTTAGATTCTGATACTTATATGCCAATTTATATAAGTCAGTGATTTTTTATTATAAAGATGTATTAATCCATGTTAAAAATGAAGAATAAAAAAGTGGGCAAATTATGTGTGAGAAACTGGCATATTAGGCTTCCCTCTGAGTTGGAAACTGCCCTTAAGGGTTTTGATTGTTTCTGTAAAAAACAAACTGAAACAAAACAATACATGTTTAACTTTTTGTATCCATAGTAACTCACATTAATTTATAGAGAACTCCAGCAGGAAGCTGCCTGCCAAAGCCAGTGTAAGAAACTGCCTATGGGATTTTCATTCCTAATTGCTTTTAGTATTAACATTGTTTTTTTATTTCAAAAAGTCATGACATTTTTTCTTCTCAAATAGGTTCCACATAACAATAGTTTATTTGTTAACTATTCTTTTAATAAACAATAGTGGATATGATTCTTGGTTGGAAAATGCATTTAGAACTGTAATTAAAATTACAATCGTATTTGAATTTAAATAATTTCATTAAACAAAATTTTTGCAAGTATATTGTTTCTGGTTTTTATTAACTAGAAGAACACAATGCATGTCATAAGAACTGACAGTTCCTGAGTTATTGGTCATGGAGGTACTGGAGGCTCCCAAATCAAGATAGGTTATTGTCATTACTCTTGGTCCCCAAACTGAACTTAGCTGTACAATCTTATTGCTCAAGACACAAAGCATAGACTTTGGATAGAGACGGAGACGGAGAAATCAAGCTGGAGCTGTAGTAGAATCTTCTTCCTTGATGGCTGGTTTTCACAGCGCCTGAAGGTGTAACAGAAGCTTTGGTTTCTTTGTATGTTATGCAAATATGCTTTTGTTTTAATCCCAAGTGTGGAATTTTAGTTGGGCTATTGTTTGTCCACACCTGTTAATTGTCATGTGTGGAGTATGGCTTTTGTCAACTGGTAACAGCCTTCCCCGTGCCACAGGGAGAGGAGTGTGGTCTAGGACTCTGGGAATATAAATATGAGGCAGAGAAAGAAACTATGGTGTTCTATGTGGCTTTCGGTTTGGGTATGTGGCATTTGGCATGTGGCACGTGGCTTGTAGCAGTTTGGAGAGACGAAAGAGCAGAGAAAGTGTGGCAGTTTGGAGCAGACAGACAGAGAGAAACGCTTCAGGGCACAGGGGTGTGGAGAAGCCTGCTGGCTGCGTCTGCAGTTGACAGATAGGTATAGAGCCCTAAAAGAACCCCTTGACCCTAAATAACACGGAATAATAAAGGGATCTGGACCCCAATACCCAATAACCACTTTTTTCCTCTCTTACATAAGGATGAGGGGTTGGTGGAGGGGAGGTAGAGGCTTAAACATCCCAAATAAAGGAGAAGTTTAAAGAAGACCCCTACAGGTTCACTTTCCACTACATGAAGGTACTATACAGGCTGCTGAGATGGGAGAGCCATCAATCAGTGCGCCCCATGAGCTACAAGATTGGCTTTTCAGGCAAGACATGCCCACTGGTAAAACAGAGGCATCATTATGATGAGTGATTGCTAGACATGGTGCAAAAAAGACATCCTTGGACCCAGCACAGCTGCTTCACTCCTGAACCCACTGCTGCTGTTGCTACCTGCTCATGAGAATTCACATCTTCTGGAAGAACTATGATTAGAAGTTAATGGCTGCTGGGAAAGAGGGTAGCTTGTTTTTGTAGCCTATGTTCCTATAAGTAGCCTTCCTCCTACCTTCCTGCAAGCAATGCTAATCAAATTCTGTGGGACATATGCACACACTCACATAGACACACACAAAGAGAGAGAGATAGAGAGAGGGGTAAAGACAGAAATAGACACAGATAGACAGAGAGACAATCAGAGGCAGAAGACAGAGAGAGACAGAAAGACACACAGAGATAGAGACAGAGAGAAAAAGACAGAGACAGGGAGAGCGAGAGAGGGAGACAGAGACAGACAGACACACACACACACACACACACACACACAGATAAAGAGAGACAGAGACAAGGAAATAGAGAAAGGGAGACAGTTAGACAGTCAGAGAGGGAGTGAGGGAGAAAAATTGAAGTAGAGGGGGCTTCCTGGGAAGAAAAAGGGTTTCAGCAGAGAGGCAGTGGTAACAGAAACCATATGCATGTATGAAATTGTCAACCATTTTTAAAGAATATGGTCTAGCCACTGTGCAGTGATCACAGTGGCTTTTCACTGTTAGTGACAATTCATGTGCAGTGTATTTGGCATTGAACACATTTTCAGCTTAACATATCTAAACTGAAGGATGTCTCTGGGACTGAACACAGGGCCTTCATTTGCTGGAAAAAATCTCCATTACTGAGCTAAATCCCCAACTCTCCTAATTTTTGATAAGGAGTAAAAAACAAACAAACAAACAAAAAAATTTGGATAGTGGGCAGAACCTGATTTTAACAGTGTTTACTTCTTGGAAATGGTGTTAGTGATTTCCTAAAATGACTGGAATCTCCCAAATTTACTCTAGAACTATACGAGAACACCTCCTCCTGAGTCTCCACCAAGTCTCAGAACACAAAAATATACACCACAGCTCTTTATTTGGTACTCACAGCTATGCCCTTCCACTCATCTGTCCCTCATGCCATTTACCCCCACATGCCTCGTACCAGAACTTCATAAACACTGTGTAAGACATAGCATATTTCTCCTCTCTCTATATTTCGTGTCTAAGAATAAGATTCTTTTACATCAATGCCTGCTTTATTTTTTTAAATTTATTTATTTAGCTATTGATGTTTCATCCCCATCATGGCCCCCTCCTTGTTCTCTTCCCTGTAACATCCTTTCTCCCTCTTCCCCCTATCCCTGCTCCCCTGCCAGGCCACCAAGGAATAGCCTGCTTTATTCAACACAGCTCTCCTCCAATCCCTGTAGGCAAGAGAGCACCATGTTGTGTCCCCACAATGTTCCCTTCATCTGTCCACTGAGAGCATAGAGAATGTTATCCTGGCTTTTATAACGTCCTTGCTCAGTGCTTTCCACGTCACAGCCTGAGATCACAGGAATGTTAAGATGGATGTTCTATCAACATTCAGTATTTATTTGTTGAATCAATTGAAAAATTAACCTTAACCATTGCTATAATGTTCTGGAGGAGGATTATTCTTGAAAACTTACCTTACCTGGGACAAAATGAGAATTGTAGTCTGGAGGGGCAGCAGGCGCTGCAGTTGGCGATTTTATCTGATTCTCCATTGCTTCTGCAGGCTGCTCAGGGACTGTGGGAACCACACCTTGAGAGAGAGAGGATCGTGACCCACAAAGTAAGTGATAGCATGATTGTAAAATGTACTCTTTTTTTTTTCACTTGTAAGCACCAGAAAATACACCCACATCTGAAAAATGCCTATTAATGAATTTTAGACTGAAGATGGTGTGAAAAGGAAACTAACCCATCATACTGTGCTTATGGCTGCAGCTTAACCTTTCATGGTCATGGTTCAGCCAACTGCCAGCTGACGCCCAACTGCATAGTTAATCCCTTGCAGACAACTGAGATTCTTTCTCTTATTATCCAAGAAACACTGGATATATAAAACTGATTCTTCATAGTCTTTTGGAAATATGGTATCTGAATTGAAGACATTAAATAAACTCTCAATGAAGACCTAATATAGGCACAAACACAGCAGTCAGAGTTGGTTCACCCCACATCTAGAGTATATTATATTATATTATATTATATTATATTATATTATATTATATTA